GAATTCCACGGACTGTATAGTCCATGGGGTCTCAAAGAGTTGGACATGACTGAGCCACTTTCACTTTCTCGTGGGTTCATTACACAATTTGCCTCTACTTTTGTACATACAAAATCCAATTTAGAGAATTTAGTTACTTCCATTCTTACCACTTCAATTATTCTTGTTTTTAATTAATCAATGGCCCTTCAATAATGTTAAGAATGTTAACTTCCCCCTGAACCAAAATTCAATAAATAACTACTTTGGAGAGTATGGTTACCTGAACCCTGAGATAAGAAAGCTGAATTATACATTCACCATTAACTGTTCAATGCTAAATATATCTGAGAAGAAATCAGGAGTCTGACATACAACTCAGAGACACAGCTCCACCATCTAGCCTGTCAACAACGGATTATTCTAGTTAATGTAACAGACACTGGACTTCACTGTGCCAGGGACATTAGAAAATAGAAAAATGAATAAGCTAGGGGTCCTTGTTCACTAGCTGCCCTCAATTTTGTGTTACCTCTCAAAAACTCATTCCCATGCCATCCACCCCTTGACTACTATCTGATATCTCTCCAGGTCATTTCCTCTGTTGTCCTGATCTTCAATTCCTTTCTCCTTGTCTCTGTTAAGCTTGTCAAAATCTGAAACCACTCACTCTACTCCAGCCATACTAACTTCTTAGCCATTCCCTGAAAACCTCAAGTTTTCATCTTTTCCTATTTCTTGGCCTGGAACAGCCTTCCCCTCTTAGATACATAGTTGTTTCCAGTCACTAAATCGTACCTGACTCCGCGATGTCACGAACTGCAGTACACCATGATTCCCTGTCTACCACTATCTCCTGGAGTCTGCTCAAGTTCATGTTCATTGACTTTGTGATGCTATCTAACCATCTCATCCTCTGATACATGGTATGTTCCCTCATTTTTTTCAGCTGTCTGCTCAAATGAGACCTTTCATGTGACTACCACAGAAATTCAGCCACTACCCCTGCCAGATACTTTATTATACTGCTTTATTTTACTCAATTATATTTATTACCATCTAACATATTCCAATTTACGAACTTCCCTGATGGCTCAGATGGTAAAGCATCTGCCTACAACGCAGGAGACCTGGGTTCAATCCCTGGGTCAGGAAGATCTCCTGGAGAAGGAAATGGCAATTCACTCCAGTATTCTTACCTGGAAAATCCCATGGATGGAGGAACCTGATAGGCTACAATCCATGGGGTTGCAAAGAGTCAGAGACGACTGAGCGACTTCACAACACACAAACATATTCCAATTTATCATCAATTCTAACAAGTTTTTTCTTCCGTTGTAAGATAAATTTTGACTTTCAGTTCAGTTCAGTTGCTCAGTCATGCCTGACTCTCTGTGACCCCATGAACTGCAGCATGCCAGGCCTCCCTGTCCAGAACCAACTCCCAGAGTTTACTCAAACTCATGTCTATTGAGTCAGTGATGCCATCCAACCATCTCATCCTCCGTTGTCCCCTTCTCCTCCCGCCTTCAATCTTTCCCAGCATCAGGGTCTTTTCAAATGAGTCAGTTCTTCGCGTTAGGTGGCCAAATACTGAAGTTTCAGCTTCAGCATCAGTCCTTCCAAAGACTATTCAGGACTGATTTCCTTTAGGATGGACTGGTTGGATCTCCTTGCAGTCCAAGGGACCCTCAAGCGTCTTCTCCAACACCACAGTTTAAAAGCATCAATTCTTTGGCACTCAGCTTTCTTTATAGTCCAACTCTCACAACCATACATGACTACTGGGAAAACCACACCTTTCACTAGACAGACCTTTGTTCGCTAAGTAATGTCTCTGCTTTTAAATAAGCTGTTTAGGTTGGGTCATAGCTTTTCTTCCAAGGAGCAGTGTCTTTTAATTTCATGGCTGCAGTCACCATCTGCAGTGATTTTGGAGCCCCCAAAAATAAAGTATCTCACTGTTTCCACTGTTTCCCCATCTATTTGCCATGAAGGGATGAGACCAGATGCCATGATCTTAGTCTTCTAAATGTTGAGTTTTAAGCCAGCTTGTTCACTCCTTTCTTCCATTGTAAGATTTTTCTTCCATCTTTCATTGTAACATTTTTCTTCCATTGTAAGATAAATTCTGACTTTAGAAATATTAAAATCAATAAGGTCCTATACTCATTGACCACTAGGTGGCAGTCATCAGGTGTCACTATCTACCTGCACAACCTTAATAATAGTTGTCTTTTTGTGGGTTTTTTTTTTTTTAATTGTAGTATAGTTACTTTACAATGCTGTGTTATTTTCTGTTGTACAGCAAAGTAAATAAGTTATATATATATATACAGATATCCCCTATGTTTTGGATTTCCTTCCCATTTAGGTCACCGCAGAGCACTGAGGTAGTACCTGTGCTATACAGGGACCTCATGAGTATACACAGCAGTATATAGCTGTTCTTAATATCAATTCTTTTAAGTTACTGACACTACTGACACTACCTGTGCTTAGTCTGCCAGTTAAAAATCTCTTGATTTAACCTTATAAACAACCCTATATATAATATCTATCAATAATTTAAATTCAACACATTTTAAAAATATCAAGTATTCACAATAATGAAGAATAACCAGAAAGAACTTTCATAGACTGCTAATGAGAATGTAAACAAAACAATAACTTTAAACTATTTAGCAATATATACTAAAGCTTATAATACGCATATTCCCAGCAAGCCCACTTCTACATAGATATGCAACAGATATGCATACAAACATTCAACCAACAGATATATCTAAGAATATCCACAGCAATACTATTCATGTTAGCTCAAAACTAGAAACGAGCACTTCCCCTGGTAGACCAGTGGTTAAGACTCCACGCTTCCGCGGCAAGGGGCACAAGTTCATTCCCAGGTCCGATAATTAAAATCCCACATGCCAATGCAACGTGGCCAGAAAACAAACAAACAAAACCAGAAACTAACCAAATTCCCAGCAACAGAAGAATGGATAACTTCTGGTATATTCATACAATGAAGGACAATAGAGAAAACAAGTATACCTCATAATATGAATGACTCTTACAATATACAGTTAAGACATCAAAGTCAGACACAAAAGAACAGACATTACATGATTCCATTTCTACAAGGCTCACAAACAGGTAAATTAATTTATAGTGTTAAAAGTCAGAAAAGTGGGAGTCACTCAGTCATGTCCAACTCTACAACCCCATGGGCTATACATTCCATGGAATTCTCCAGGTCAGAATACTGGAGTGGGTAAGTTGTTCCCTTCTCCAGGGGATCCTGTCAACCCTGGAATTGAACCAGGGTCTCCCTCATTGCAGGCGATTCTTGCCCAGCTGAGCTACCAGGGAAGCCCACGTTAAAAGTCAGAGAGGAGTAGTAACTGAAGACGGTGTAAGCGGGCTTCTGGGGCACCGAAAATATTCTATTTCTTGATCTGGATACTGGTTACACATGTGTATTTAATTTGAGAAAACTGGGTTTTCACTATAGTAAAGGGAGTAGAATAAATCAAGGAGTCCTACTCTATTTGCTCCCTAAACCTACCTCCCCACCTCTCAATTGTCCGTAGACCATTTCTGTCTCCAACTGAGCCAGGATAGGAGCAAAAACAATATTTAGCAGCTACTGTATGTCAGGCTTCCCTGGTGGCTCAGCTGGTTTTCCCAGCAGTTCAGTCATCAGGACTCCAAGCTCTCACTGTTGAGGGCCTGGGTTCAGTCCCTGATCAGGGAACTAAGATCCCCCAAGTCACGTGGCATGGCCAAAAAAAAAAAGAAAAAGAAGACAGCTTGATGAAGAGGAAAGAGTAGTACAGACCTGAAGATGGAGGGCCTGGATTTGAGTTCTGGTCCCACAGTTGTGTGAGACTGCAAAAGCCAGAGACTCTCTGGATGTCAGTGTCTTAAGATCTACCCTGTCTACAAGCTGCTCTAAGGATGAAAATGAAATAACAGATGTAAAAGGATTCTGTAAAGATAACACATTGTAGTTACCCATTTATTCATCTAACGAATATTTACTGAGCATCTACAATATCCGAGACTCTAGGGTTTCAAAGGTGAACAAGACTGGCAAGGTCCCTACTCTCATGGAACTTCACACTTGTAAGTGGGAGACATAATAAACAAATAAACGGGCAAGTTGCCAACAGTGATAAACGCTCTAAAGAAAATAAACAGAGTGATGTGAAAAAGAGTGGAAAGGGAACTACTTTAGATGGAATAGTCACAGACGGCCAGGCTGAAGTGACATAGCTCAGACCTCAAAGGACTCTTCAGCCAAGTGAAGAAGCAAGGAAACAGGTGCTGTAGGCATTAAGGAACAAGGCAAGTTTGGCATGTCTGAAGCACTGAAAAAATGAGGTAAGACTGGAACACAAGGCTGAGTGAGAAAAACTGTTCGGAGACAAGTTTGAAAAAGTGGACAGGGACTAAATCCAGTATGGCTTGATTGTTAAAAGAATATTATCAGTACCATAAAGCTTTTCTTTTTATTAACATGGCCAAATTGAATCATCATGCAAATATCTAGTGTACCCATTTGCAAAAGAAGGACATTTCCAACCTTCTACTTGAGCAACTCTATGACCAAAAAATAAGTGGAAAGATCCTATACAATGGCCCTAGACATAAAATTCTTAAGAACTACATACAAAAACATCATTTATTATGATGTTTGGAAAGTCAAATAGTCAAAAACCTCAAGAGCAAATAGAAATGACAAAATTATAGAATGATTTGAAAAAAACCAAAGGTTTTTAACAGAAAAAGTGTCATGCATTCAGCAAATATTTATCAAGCACCTACTTTGTGCCAGGCATGCTCTAAGCACTAGAGATACATCAATGAAAAAATCAGTGAAGATTTAAGCAATAATTGAGCAGAAGATTTAACTGTAGAAATACCAGAACTGAACTTCAACTTATTTTATGTCTCAGCATTTTCTAAAATAGGAGTCACAGGCTTAGTCATATGCACCTGTCAGAAAGCAAACTTACCAAGGAATTCTTAATCACTTCACTCCTATAAAATTCTGGAAAAGAAGAAAAAGAACAATAAGTGATGTGGAAGAAAATAAGCTCACTAACTCTTAATCCTATAAAATTTTTAACATATGCTCTAGTTAAAAAAAAAACAACACTTAAAACATTTTCAAGGGTCTATTCTCTCTATATATTTATCTGTAAAAATTAAAATACAGACAATTATTAAATAAAAGTTTTTTAATTGAAGCGTAGTTGATTTACGATGTGTTAGTTTCTGGTATACAGCAAAGTGATTCAGTTGTACATATACAAAGATTTACTTTTTCATATTCTTTTCCATTACAGTTTATTATAGGATATTGAATATAGTTCCCTGTGCTACAGAGTAAGACCTTGTTTTAAAGGGAAAAACACTGGTAAAGAAAGGTCAAAATCTATTAAGATTTAATTTAGTCATTTTTCCCTGACTGGCTCCTTTTACCCCAGAGTGTAAGGTAAGGCCTTAAGAACTCAGACTTTATTCTCCCTTAACTACTGCCATCATCTACAACAAATTCCATATGCTCTGTTTGTCTCAAACATCTCCAATGATTATCCATTGTAGTACTGTGGAGAGAACACTCATCTAGAACAACCAGGGAACCAAAGTTCTAGCTCTACATGTCATTAACATTCTGCCTCTCATTTCCTTGGGCCCATTTCTTCATGACACTTTTGACAATCAGACTAATAATCAAGGCCCTCTGTAACCACTAAAATTCCATGATTCTACACACCTTAAATTATACTGTAAATGTTACAAAACCTGAAGCTACAATCAAAAGAGAAACTGTGTCAGAGGTTCAATGGAGATACAATCAAAAGAGAAACTGTGTCAGAGGTTCAAACAGACATTCCTAAGAACTCTTCAATATTGCCTCTGTTGTCTCTGCCGAAGTTACTCTGTGATGCTCTGTCAACGCAGAGCCTACGAGGACTCTGTACCTGTATGCTGCTATAGGGCAATATTTCCCATGGGTGATGCACATATCACTGATACGTGAGATGATGTTAAGTGATAAATGGATAAACTTTACTTTTTTCTAACATTGAAATTTACAACTCATATACCCAACCCCTAATAGTAAGCTCCATAAGGGCAGCAGCATTTGTTTTGTACAACTGCTGTCTCCTCAACATGTAAAATTATTCCTGGCACAGGGTAGGCACTCAGTAAAAGTTTGATTGAATCAACAACTTCACAGATTGTGGGAAAAATGGACTTCTTAAAATATATTCAGTATGTAGCATTAAAGATGAAATTCAAAGAGAGTGAAACTTGCCAAAGTAGTCCAGAAGACTGAAGTTTGGGAATCATCAAGCAGTAAAGGAAAAGTGGACCTGGATATAAAGTTCTGGGCTAGGTCTTTTGGTTAAAATGTTTTTCCACAGAACATAACATCTATACTATTCTATGCTTGTCTTCCCTTAAAAAATAGTAATAGTGATACTCATCCTATTCTGTGGCAAGATAGCCACAACACACTAAGTGAAAAAACAGATTCTATGAGAAAATTTACCACAGGATCCAAATTTTTACAATTACATGAACAACATTTATCTTAGGTGATAGGGTTAGGCTGCTTGCTTTTATTTTTTGCTTGGCAGTTTTTAAATTTTTCTATTTTGAACAATTACTTTAAATAAGAGAAGGGATAATTCTAATTGTTCTTAAAAGGAAACTTTTCTTGATGAATATTTAAGTTACTGATGGTTTTTTGATATTTCAAGTAATACTATATATAATCTTTGCAAGATATATATCCTAAGACACATGCATCTATAAGATAGACTTCAAGTGAAATTGCAAGGTAAAAGGGAAAAAAAGCTTAAATTTGATAGATATTGCCAGACTGTTCTCTATAAACACTGTACCAATTTACAGTCCCACTTACACTAGCCAACCCTACACTTTTTTTTTAATTAGTTAACTCATTGGCTGTGCTGGGTCTTCACTGCTGCATGCGGCGTTTCTCTAGTTGCGGAGAGTCGGTGCTGGTCTAATTGCGGTGCACAGGCTTCTCACTGCTGTGGCTTCTCTTGTCACAGAACACAGGCTCTAGGCACTCGGGCTTCAGGACTTGCAGCACATGGGCTCAGCAGTTGTGGCTCGCAAGGTCCAGATTGCAGGCTCAGTAGTTGCGGCACACAGGGCTTAGCTGCTCCACAGCATGTGGGATCTTCCCAGAGCAGGGATCAAACCCATGTCCCCTGCACTGGCAGGGGATTTCTAACCACTGGACCACAAGGGAACCCCAACCCTCAGTATTACTCTTTTCATTTTTTCCCAAATGGTTAACCAATGCCAATCATAAATTGGCTACATAAATGTACATATGTACGTGCATGTGTGTATATATATACATATACATATGTTCTTTTCTAATATGCAATACATATACTCTAAATTATTCCCAATGTTTCTGGGGGTGGGGGAGACTTTTAGGGCTAAAACTGTGTTGCTTGTTATTACAAGGTACTTTCACTTAATATACTTTTGTATTGTCTAAATTTGCTCCAAGTATGTAATACTTTTTAAAACAGTGGAAAAAAATTAAAGCTATTCCGTTTTTCTTTTGAGAGAATTCCTCAGCTTAATCTGTAAAGTGTCTAACTTAAAGAATCTCCAACATATATATCTCCAGCTCTAAGAAAACGAACAGCATCATTATTTTTTTCAAAACTTTGCTGACTAGCTATATATATACATAAATGAAACTAAACAATTTGCTTTCTCCATTAGACCCTCAAAATGGACTTGCTAATTTTAATGGATAAAGGTCAACAAAGGAGCCATACAGTTTGGAAAGGAATCACCAAGTCTAAAGTAATTTATAAAGTGCTAAATGTGGGCCTAATCTGTCTACCATTCTGCTATACTTTTGATTGTCAATGAAATCAGCAACATGGTACACAACAGAATAGTGAATTTAGGAGAATTTAAAGTGATAAAAACAGTTCCAGTCCCTAATGCACCATGTATAAGCTTGACCCTGGACAAGCCAATTAACTTTTCTGGGCCATAGTTTCTTCACTTTTAAAGGAGAATGACACCTGGAAAATAACAGGGTTGTTATGAGGCCCAAATGAAATATTGAATTAACTATACTATATAAGCTATCATTATTATTAATATAATTCTATGAATTTTTATTAATTCAACTTGAACAAAACTATTAGACAAATTTTCAAAAAGATATCATGTAGAATTCTAGTTCTACATGAAAGGCACTATTAGATACAAATGCTTCTTTATCCAAGCTAAGACCTAAACAAACAAAGCAAGCAGAGATTGCAAAGCATGGTTCCAACGGCATGTCAAAACATGCTATTATACAGCATTCCATTTATTTAACAAATGCTTTTTTAGTATCTCAACCTCACTGAGAAAAGAGGAAACAAACTTAAACTCTACTATGAAACTATTTTTCAACTATCAGATTGGCAAAATTTCACAAGTTTGATTGCACAGTCTGCTGGTCAGGCTGTAGGGAAAAAGGTACCCACATACAGCAAATGGGAATGTCAACAAGGACAATTTTGTACTATTTGTACTTCCACTCTGGAATTTACCCTAAAGCCATACTAGCACTCACAGAAAATAATATATACCAATGAAACCATTCATGGCAATGCTGTGTATATAGCAAAAGACCAGAACAATTAAATGCTCATCCAAAGAAGTCAGTTAAATAAATTATGGCACAATTGTTCAACACAAAACTAAACAGAAAAAAAGAAAATTAGAGAAGCTTTTATGAAATAATACGGGAAGACATCTAAAATATATTAAGGAAAAATGCAAGGCACAGAAATATATATATATATATAATACACACATATATAATTTGGTACAATTTTTACTTGCAGTTGCATAAAGAATCTCAGTAAAGATAAACCAGGGTGCAGCAAAAAACTAGCGAGATGGGACAGGTGAGAGGAAGATTTTAATACAAACCATCATATATATTTTGAGCCACAGACTGTACTAGCTATTCAAAAATTAAATGAAAATATCTGGGGGCTTATTTTGTGCCAAGAATTATTCCAACTATTGGAAACAGTGCGGTGAACAAAACTGACCCAGAAACTTCTACTCAAATGGAGCTTACATTTAGTGGACAGAGACATACATTAAGCAAATAAGTAAACATACAGTTATGTCAGACTATCTGGAGTATCGTGGAGAAAAATCTGATGTATCAAAATAACTGGTTGGTAATCCAGGAAAGCACAGGTACTCACATTTCATGGGGGAGAAATAACTATGGCTGAAGAACAAACTTGATTTTATAAAACTTCCAAGTTTAAGAAGGAACCAGGATTAGAATCTAGCTCCTAGATTTTTAAAAGGGTTAGTCAGTGATCAAGACTTTCTCTGAGAAAAATCTGGAGTGAAGACCTGAAAGAAGGCAGAGGAGCTGGTCATGTGACTATCAGGAGGAGAGTGAGGGCAGATGCCTTTAAACTGAAGCCAATTTGAACTCAAGGAAGGCAAGAAGGGCAGTAGGGATGAAACAGAGAGAACTAGAAGAGTAGAAAGAGATAAGTGCCGAGAGGTGACAGATGGCCAGTTCATGAAAGGCTTAGGAAACAAAAAAAACTTTAGCTTTTACTCTGAATGAAACAGGAAGCCATTGGAGGGTTTGGGGCGAGGAATAACATGAGCTGACTTTCATCTTAACGGGATCTAGGTTGAGACCACACTGAAAAAAATGCGTGGGCAGACAGACCTGTTAGAAGTCTACTTCAACAACTCACGTGACCACTCCATGATAGTAGTTTGGAGGTAGCAAGAAAAGAAAAGATTATAGATATATATTTTGGTAGTAAGAACCAAAAATATCTGCTGAAAAACTGGGTATAGAATATAAAAGAGGACAATGCAGGGTGATTCCAAGGTTTCTGGCCAAGCAAATGGAAAGACCGAGTTGCCATTTTCTGATAGACGGATGAATACAGAAGATAGATCAGAGTTAGAACATCAGGCTCATTGCTGAATATATCAAGTTTAAGTCACCTCCTAGGCTCCAAATGGAGATGTACAGTAGGCAACTGAATATATGAATATGAGTTCAGGGGGGAGGCTAAAGCTAAAGAAACACATTTGTAAGCTGTTAGAGTGACAAGTGATATTTGAAACCATGACACATGCATGAGACCACCAAACTGAATTATGTAGAGATTGTCTTCTGATGTACCAAAATAACTGGTTGGTAATCCAGGAAAGCACAGGTACTCACATTTCAGGGGGGAGAAATAACTATGGCTGAAGAACAAACTTGATTTTATAAAACTTCCAAGTTTAAAAAGGAACCAGGATTAGAATCTAGCTCCTCATCCATTAACACAAGGCTTTGTTCTCTGAGAATGTAATAAACGGTGTTCAATTTGAACTACCTGAGAAATAGACAATCTAAGAGCACTAAAAAAAGTGTCAAAAATCAAAAACACTCACACATAACTTCTTACGCTCTGCTGTGAATTCAGCTGAAATAAAAGAATAACTTAGAAATCAGCATTTCAGATAGCCTTCCAATTAAAAAAAAAACAAAAACAAACTTCTTTTGAAACAGAAATGATGCCACCAGGCAGGTGGTACAGGTGGCTTTTAAGAAAAGCCTATAGGCCTTCCATTGTGGTCATCCTACACCAAAGGCCACATAATGATCATGCAATGAATATTCAAGTTTATCATCACAGCTCCAAGAAGATAAGGTGGTATTAATTATGGTTACTAAGGAAAGAGTTTTCTGGCTCCTCCTATGGCAGTGAAAAGTTACAGAGCCGAACATGTGGGCCCAACAAGTCCATTATGTTAATAGACTTCATTCAACCATGACATTCTGGAGCACAGGGAAGTCTCAGAAGTCATCAATCCTCTCATTTTAGAAATAAATTAATAGCACACAAGAGGAACTAAATGTCCCAGCCAAAGGGCTGGCCAGTCAGTGACAGACTCAATACCACTACTAGACACTGGACTTCCCTGTGGTCTGAAACCAGCAAGTCCCTTATTATGTTAATAACCATTTCATTGAAATAACTTCAAGAAGCAGCCCCGAAAAAAACCAAACAAACAGAAATATTCCATAATAACTTCTAAGCTCAAGATATAAACTAAACTAGAGAAGACAAGAAAAAGAACAACCACCACCAAAAAAATCACTTTGTTTTCACTGTATCTCTTGGACAAGTTTTTACATCATGGTTATCAACTAGTCCCATGACTACTCTTTTTAGAAACTACTATTATGCCTGTTAACGTTACAATTCTAATAATAATTGCTATCATTTACCAAATACTTAAAATGTACTAAGTTCAATGTCAGTAACTATTATCAGAGGTAACAATGGAGCAAGAACACAGAAGTTCTAACAAAGACAACCAAGAACTGATTATATAGAAACCTATAAAAAATGTACTTTGGCATTGTCATATATTGCTAGTGATGAAACCAATTAGTGAGCAGCAGACCAAATGTAATAAGATCTGCAAAAATACTTATACTCTTAGCACAGACAGTGACCAAACTGTTTCATTTTTCTTCTGGATACATAAGAAGACAATATTTTCCCATTCTCTATTCACCTAAAAAGGATGATGTAACTGATATACCGCTAATGGAATGTCATGGAATTGATGTGGAACGTTTCCATTTAAAAATCTCCCTCAAATAATTCGTCTCCCTTGCCACACCGGAAGCATGATTCCAAAACAGAAGCAGCCTGGGTACCTGAGCCACCAGTCAGAGGAGAACTGCCAAGCCAGTACCTGGTAAGTAACACCCACACTGAACTCTGTTCAGTCACGCACTCGTGTCCGACTCTTTGCGACCCCACAGACTACAGCACGCCAGGCTTCTCTGTCCTTCACCATCTCCCAGAGATTGCTCACTGAACTTAGTGTTTAAGAAATTTATTTAAAAAAAAAAAAAAGAAATTTATTATGTCAAGGCACTGAATGACTCATAGCACTTGTTATGGTAGCTAGAGTTACTCGGTCAGATTAATACAATTGTTTTAAAAATACGCAGTGGTTAGAATGAAACCTAAGAATGAAATAAAATTGTAAAAATGGTGGAATTTACAGTCCTTTTTCCTTTGTCCAAAAATTACATAGCAAGCTATTTCAGTATATAGTATATATACAGGTAATAGTTGGTATATAAGTACATACTGGTACATAGCTGGTATATAGTTACATACTAGTTGAAATATCCAGAACTAATATCAATGTAATTTTAATCCTAAATCAATATTCCTGTCATTATACCATTCTTCCTCTTTTACAGTATTCAACATAAGTCAACTGATTATGTCAAAGTGTCTTTTGCCTAATATGTATTCAAAAGATGCCTGTGATTCTGAATCAAATATCTGATGTCCTCTTAGAATTATCACTTATGGAAGAATCCACATTTCAGTATGAGGAAATGAATTCAAAGAAACCATGCAATTCTAAAAATGAGCCCATATACACAAAGAATTACAGATATGAGAAGGTATGCACTAGGTCCAAATTTTACCACAAGACTAAAGGAATCAATTATATTTTAAAGACAAGCAACTAGATACTGGACTCAAGTAACCTATTTCAAATGACAGCTACTGAATAATTAAACATTAACATTTATAAAGGAATGATAAATTTATCATTGTAAGGCTCAGCTATCCAAAAGACATGTTTCTTCAATATATATAACAACTGCTCAAGAAATATTTTCAGACAGCATGACAACTTAGTTTTCTAATAAGCAATACTAGCGAGAGATGCAGAGAACCATTTATGTCACAAAAGAATAAAAATGAGATCTAACAATCTGTGGGTGGCAAGTCCAGATTCTCTTACCTTTGTATACCTTTTCAGTGTTACACAAGTGAAGTGTGAAGTAGGTGTCAAGCAGCTGATGGCCATTCCTATTAACAATGTTCCGGGCAGCAATGTTCCGAAGATGTCTAAGACGCCGCTGAAACAGAAAGAAAAACAAAAAAAGAGGATCATTCAGCTTTTTCCTCTTCTAAAACTTTCTGAAAGCTACAATTCAAAGATAAAATTTAGTAAGTTGTCCCAGTCACTTATTTGTTGAGCCAACAACCTTAACCCAGTCTCTTATTTATGCCTCAGCATCTCTTCCATTAAATAGGAGTTATTCTTGCCCTATATCATTTACAAAGCTGTTGGAAGCATGAAATAACAGAAATGAAATATTCTTGAAAAATATAAATGTTATATAAATCCTACATACCTGTAGAATAGCATCAGTATTTCCTGGAATATTAACTAGGCAGTAATTTGCTTTTTTCCCATCAGAAGGATGCTGGTAGAGATGCAAAGTCCAACTCACACCAACACAAAATTAGCAATTATTACATACACACACCTCTGTTGCTAGTTCAGTCTGATGCCAGATCATCTGTTACAACCAAGAAAAGAAGACAAAGACAAAAAACCAAACAAAACAGTACCTCACTGCTCACTTCATCAGGCCAGTAACCCAACTGTCGTCACCTTAAATTCTCACTTGACCAGCAGTCAACCAATCCCTATTTTCTCATCAGGCCTCCCTCCAACTAGGATGCAAAAATTATTCGAAGTCGTAAGTGCTGGAAATGCAAAAGCTCCAAAAGCAACAGGAGAAATCAACAAAAATATAAGATGCCTAAGTATCAGCCGCGCAGTTGTGTCCAATTCTGCCACCCCATGGACTGTAGCCCGCCAGGCTCCTCTGTCCATGGGATTTCTCCAGGCAAGAATACTGGAGTGGGTAGGCATTCCCTTTTCCAGGGGATCTGCTCAAACCAGGGATTAAACCTGGGTCTCCTGCATTGCAAGCAGATTCTTTACCACTGAGCTACAGAGAACAGAATATTTTAAGATACCTTAAGAGATAGCCAAATCATCTCGTATCAAAGAGAAAAGTTGGCAGTGAAGCGTGAGCACAACAGATTCATTCTCAGTAGCTAGTCCCCTGTGTCAGATGATTAGTTCAGAGACTGAAAAACAGAAACCAAGTGCTTATTTTTAAAATATGCTTAAAGCTCTCCCTTTAGGCTGAAAGCCCACTTTGCTGAGGTAAGTCCATCATCAATTACAGGTGCAGTCAGCCAGCAAAGTACAGTTCTTCCTTTCCATGTACACAGCAACCTAATCCTTTCTCCCAATCTAGAGATTAACATTCTTGGACAGAGAAGGTTATTGTCTAATGAATTTATTTAACATTCTAAGTATGAAAAACCCCAAATGTTTTTATAAAAAGTTCCTAGGGCTTACTTTAAAAGACTTATATTTCTACAATCTGCCAAAGGTTTCCATTTCACACCCTAGATTACAGCAACTATTTCCTCCAACTACATGTTTTTCATTAGCCTTCTAAGTCAAGATTTTAAATTGCCAGGAACCACTAATAGCCTGCATACATAATAATCACATCTATTTTGCCAGAAGATTCCAATCTTGGTCTTCTATTCAAAGACCTGAAAACATTACACTTCACAAACATTATTTAAACAGAGCTCCTCTCTTCCATCCCCACCCATTCATCTCCTTCCTTCAGTCTCCCATCTCCTTCCTTCCTCCCCTTCCCCCAAGGTTTAAAGCAATTAAAAAGAAATATTGGAAGGTTAAACCAGAAACTCAGAAAATGGCCTGTGGGGGTGAGAACAGGTTGGAGGGAACAGAGTTAAAAGCAAGACTTCCCTGATACTTCACTACGTGGTTTCGCCTTCTGTACCATAAGAATGATTTACATAATCAAAAAATAAAGTTAAATAAGAAAAAGTTTAAATCAACTAAACCTAGTCAAAAATATAACAGCAATACCAAAAATTACCACCAGTCTTAGGCTGTATCACCCACCTTTGCCCAAATTACTACCCTATGAACCTAGGAAATATTAAAGAAATCAAGGTCACCTAAAGGATCCTCTCTAGTTCTCAGTTCTCCAGAACATCTATCTATACTTGACCAAAACAATGTATAATTATGGATAGTTTCAAATATTTTCCCAACCAGACTAAAAGTTTTATACGGGAGAGATTTATTTTATTAACTGCTGTATCTCTAGCACCTAGATGAATAACTAGCAAATAGTAGGAACACAATAAATGGTTTTTGATTGAATTTATATGTGTCCAGAGAATTAACAGTCAAGAAGGTCTTGGTATGACCTAGGTCGTACAATGAACCATACTGGATTCTGACACCCACCCATGAGATGGTGGGAGAATACAGAGCACTTCAAACGTAAGACTGGACCTCAGAACTGAAAGTAGGGGTCAAATCTTAGCAGTGCTTCTGGACTACAGCAAATTCTCAGCACTCACCTACCTGTAACTGTACCTGTAACTGTACCAGGCACCAGGAATTCATGACCTGGAGGCAACACTGAGCATAAATGTACTGCTTTAGACCCTGTCTAAACAGAATTAAATATCAGATTATCTCAATGGCCCATCCAAAGATAAATTCAAACCTGTCTTATGATCTAAACTGGCTCAAATATCTCAGAAAAGGAAAAATAGTAAGTAATTAAAATTTATGCTGACTTTGAAATTACTCTTTCTGTTTTTGGCTGTGCTGGGTCTTCATTATCATGCATGGGCTTTCTCTAGTTGCAGCACATGGGATTCTCACTGTGGTGACATCTCTTATTGCAGAGCATGGGCTCTAGAGCACAGGCTCAGTAGCTGTGGCCCACGGGCTTAGCCGACCTATGGCATGTGGAAGCCTCCTGGACTAGGGATGGAACCCGTGTTCCCTGCATTGGCAGGTGCGGATTCTTAACCACTGGACCACCAGGGAAGTCCTAGATTACTCTTTAAGATAACATTCCAGGCAGTTTCTCAAACTGCCAATCTCCTCACACTTTCTTAAAGCTTTAAGCATTCACAGTAAAAAAAGGCTCTTTGCATCTCTTTCTATAGCAATAGCTTTAGGCAGCCAACTGTACTCTAAAAACACCTATTCCCAAAGTTGAATAGATTTTAATTTTTAAGTTGGAATTAAAATGGCTTTAAAGTCTTTGAAGCACTACCTAAAAAATATTCTATATCAAGGTTAAAAACAATCACTAAAATAAAATCTTATTCAGCTTTGATTTGGAAGATTGATGTATTATAGCTAGAGCACAACTCTGCTACCTGAAATGTTGGCAGTGGGAAAGAGACCAGAATGATCCTAAATCCCTCAACTTTTTTTTTTTTTAAACAAATCTCTCAAGTGTAAATTCTAAAACAAGACTTAACTGGCATGTGTTGTAGATTTGAAACATCTGCTTAAGTAAACAAGCATTACACTAGTGTGATTGTTAAACTGGTGCCTCTAAAAAATCTAAAAGGGTTGGATTTTCTTGTTAACAGTACTAATGTTCTTAGAAAACTGCTTTAAAACGTGAGTCAAAGTCGCTCAGTCGTGTCCGACTTTGCGATCTCATGGACCATACAGTCCATGGAATTCTCCAAGCCAGAATACTGGAATGGGTAGCCTTCCCCTTCTCCAGGGGATCTTCCCAACCCAGTGATCGAACTCAGGTCTCCAGCATTGCAGGTGGATTCTATACCAGCTGAGCCACAAGGGAAACCCAAAACGTAATAGTAGATTAAAGAACTTTTTCTGCCTTTTAAAATTTTGCTCCATTTTATCTTGCCCAGCATCTATTTGGCTTAAAAAACAAACAACAACAACAACAAAAGAACAAAAACACCTCAGATATTCCTCTTGAGAACTCCGTCCTCTACCATCAATCTACTGTAGAATTAACCCCACTTCCAACTCCAAGAAGGATCATGGGACTCAGGTCAGGTCAATCAGCCCTGATCATTCCCTCCCCGCCCCCCAACCATAACAACACAATTAGGATCCATGGAAAACCTAGAAGTTGTATTAAGTTGTTGTATTAAACAGTCGATTAAATTCTTTTTTCCCCCTACTGGCCCAGAACCTGGAAGGACATAGGGCTAGAGATGCTGGCAGTCATCTTTACATCATAGTGAAACCTGAGATGAAAACTGCAAGAGAGCAGAGTTCAGAAATGTGGAGCAAGACAGAAATAAGGTACTGCAAGAGTAAGGTAAGAGGTACAAACTACTATGTACCAAATAGATAAGCAACAAGGATACAGTGTATAGCAGAGAGAATTATAGCCATTATCTTGTAACAACTATTCATGGAGTATAACCTATAAAAAGCGGAATCACTATGCTATACACCTGAAATTAATATTAAGTCAACTATACTTTAATAAAAAAATAAAATTAAAAGTTCTGCCAAAGGAATTTTAGTCTCTGTCAGTACGACCAAATCCCACCTAAAATGACAACGACAGACACCAATCCCGTCCCGATAAAACTGTTGAAGATTACAACTAGAGAACACTTATATCGTAACTGTTTATCAGGAAATTTTCCCACTAACAGCTTAGTAAATGAAAAGTAACATTCTAATTTAGCTGCAAGGTACAAAGAAATGTTTCATTTTGTTAAATATCCCCATATTTTAGAAAATGGTTAATTTCTGATAGGTCAATCCATTTTTATTGATAAAATTTTGAACCTCATCCTTGGTGATAAGTGAAATCACACCTCAGAACTAAAAGAAAACCAAAGCAACTTTTAGTAGTAAAGTAGGCCACTGGTGTTCTACGTTCTTCCCAAATGTTACCTTTCCTTTGCTGATATCTAAACTTGGTCTGGCTTCTGAAGTATAAAAATGACCAAAGAGAAATGTGATGTTTCTCCTTTCTGCTGGAGAGTGACTCAGAGAGGCTGATGATGGCTATCCTCCTCCTTCCTTGCACTCCTTGCTTATTAAAACAAGAGTATCTGTATGTCTCACTGTATCCTACCCACTACGCCAATTGTCTCCTGTTTGCTGAACCCAGGGTAGGCAAGGCGTGAGCGAGCAAACAGATAGGAAGAAGCTAAAAGAAGATGCAAGGAGCCATAGGAACTGCAAACATTCTTTATTCGC